CAGTGCTGGGAGATAGGGCTCCGGATGGGTGTCGACTCCTGGTGCTGTTGTCCTCGTCTGACGTCGTTATCCTCGTCTCGTTTGTGTACAGCGTTTCCGCTAGATAACTTTCCAGCCGTCGCCAGGTGTTACTGCGCTCTGAGACGGACTGGATAACGTTTGGCCTTCAGCTATGTACGCGTCAAAACCGGAAGTCGAGGGCTGGACGGGGAGGGAACCGGTCCTCCCCAGCTATCTCGGTTGGTAAAGCAATGAACTCGTAATCAGTGGACCCCGGTCCAAATCCCGCCAGTTGCACGGAGATAACTCGGGTTGTGATGCGTGCGAGGCAGAAAGCCAAACATCATCTCGTCGTTCTAAATGCTCCACAACGCCAGACGAGGGACAGAGACTTCCCTGGCCAAAACGAACACATCTAAACACGCCAGATGGGGACAATAATCTGAACAACCATTCCACACGTGACACTAGCAGGCTTCGTCTCAATACCTCCATAAACCGGTCTGTCACGTTTGTCACCGCAGTTTATCGCCACCGTCGGAGACAAACAAAGCCCTGCCAGCCCGGCGCTCCAGCCGCCGGGGCTGTGTTGCTTCGCTGCATGTGTCTGCAGTGGCTGGAGACGGTCGGTCCGCGGTAATAGGGACGAACGCACTGGTATTTGGTGGTCTACGGGCGATGTGATAAGTGATAATACGCTAAATCACGAGCGAAATCTGCAGGGAAGCCCAGCTCCCAAAATATATAGTTACTCACTTCGAATCCTTCATATGTCTTGTGAGCATCAGATTATCACCATTTTACATTTTAACACACATTATGCCTAAGGAAACAATACATTGCAGTGTGGGGGGTTCATCGTCCACCAGCATAACACGGACAGAAATACATCGCTAAGACTGGTTGTGTTGGTCACAACGACTGCGGCATTTGGGGACAGCGGGAGCCGGCTCTCCTCTTCTCAAGCAAAGACATTGTTAACTGAGGGATGACAGGTGATGATAACAAGTAATGGACATAAGACCGGCGTCACGAAAGCAAATAGCTAGTCTCAATGAAAGCAATCAACTGAGATGGCAGTGCCAGCCAACGTTCTAATCACATACTCAGCACGGCAGCAGCGAGTTACCCGATTCGTAGGATGCCCGCACGACACGTGGGTCAAATGTGCATGGATAGGGTAATAAGTCAGTTCCAGCAGGGTGACCGGGAGAGAATATCTCTGTCATTCAATCATCACTAAAATGTTCACACTGTATGGTCCGTAAGATTAGGTAGGCGAATGAGGAGACAGTTTACGCTATGGCCGATGCATCCGTGCAGACAGCTGCTGATCAGCACACAACACTGATTAACTGATGTTTGGTGAAAACTCGGGACAGATCGTGTTGCAGCACAAACAGCTGCTGATCGTAGGTACACACCACTAAATAGGTGTCTTTTGGTGCACAGTTACGCAAACAGGATCGGATCAGTGCAGTGCTCTGGATAGCGGATGATTGGTGGATGACACCAAACAGCTGTCGACGGGCGCTGAGCATCAACAGACGCAGCTACTGGCCATTGCAGACTCGCAGCGGCACAGAGTAACACACAGCAGCACACAACGATACACCACCTCATGTCTAACCCAACCACGGACGGCTGAGCGCCTATCAGCACATGGCACTGCAGACAGCTGTCCACCAGCCGCACACACCAGCCGTGGTGAGCACACATCCCCCGTCCAGGCACTGAGCGCAGTCCCTGCGCTGTCGGCCCACCTGTGACCGCGGTCGCCGCGCTCAGCACGCTCGCAGTGACCGGTCGCGTGAGCGCGCACTCTCCCCTCGCTCTCTCTCTCGTGGCCGGCCAGCGGGCCGAGTGACGCCCGCCGGCCGGCCGAGCGGCCCCCGCGGTCCGGCCCGGCCCCGCCGCCGCCGAAATAGACGCGCCCGCCGATCCGTCTCGTGCGCCGCCGACGGAGGCACCCGGCAGGGGGGCGCGTGCCACCGGCGCCGGCCACCTGGGGCCCGTGTCATCGGATGTTTACAGGCGAACCCGAGTGTTCTGTGCGTGTTGTGAGGGTTTTGAAACAAGCGGGCGTGTCTTGAGTTGAATTTCGGTCATTGAGCAGCACCCTCGAATGGGTTTAGAGGTCGAGTGCTTGTTTCCTAGGTGTAGTGAGTTCCCGGAAGGTGGGAGGGGTGTCAAGTTCAGGAAACAGAGCTGTCTTTGAATACCTCAACAATTTAATGCACCTGTCTGTCCTCAGGTTTGGTTTTCTCAAAGCAGGTGGCACCTCTGTTGGTGTCTTTAAAACAGCAAATGGGTTTGTTTGAAGCCCTTTGAAAACAAACAGATTCTGGAAAATGTCAGGACATGTTTGCCACAACCAGCTGTGTTACTGGATCCAGGTACCATTATGCCTACATCGCATAGTGAGTTGAACCATGTGCCTGGCAAGCAAAGCAGGGACACTTTAAGAACATCATAGGAGCAAATGCCCAGACAGGACTCAAAGGGCACAGTTCAACTAAGAGATCCAGCATAGGACCTGGTCCTTGTATGGGTTACATGAAAGGCTGTGACAATGCCTTTCAGAGGTTGAACAGAATAACATTACAATAGGAGATAATTATCAGGAGGTTCAAAGTACGTATGATACAAATGACCATATGAAAACTCAAAGAGAATTTTTCACATTTGAAGATATTGAAACAAGCATCAGATATTATGAAACAAGCATCAGATATTATGAAACAAGCTCACTTATAACTACTGGTGTACACATTTTAAAGCAGGACATGAAACTAACTAGCTTAACACTGACTTCTTCTGATGTGCTGAAAATTTTTAGCAAGACTTCTTATTTATTGTAAGATTTAGTTCTAAGCTTTTCATTGGCATGGGGAATAGGCTCCACTTTGTAAATATGCTCACCAAGGTGTCATGGCTTGATACATGACCATACTTCGCACAATATTGATCAAAAGCCAATTGACAGTTATCTCTGAAAATTACACTTGCAAATGAAAGCCAGATATGAATATCATTATATTTTCATGTTGATTGCCATATAGCTTATAGAAAGGCAGGATTTTAATGATGTTCCTATAATGTCATGAACACCAAGGTGCCCCCAAAATAGTCTCCCTGATATACCTTTCTAAGCCTTTCCCATTGCTGTGGGTGTGTAGCTGCCATAAAAGGCAACACAGCCTGTGCATCATTAGTAAAAAAAGCACCTAAGCCTTTTTGCCTTTGCATGGCTAGGCTCAACTAGAAAGGGCAGGATTGTGAACATCATGAAAAGTCTATAAGATGGCTAGTTCAAAAAGAGATCAAAACCCCACATAAATGTGGAACACCTCCTTTAAAACAATCAGCATAAAATACAGCAATTGAATAAATCCACTTTTACTTTATCCATACTTAGTGATATGTTTCTCTTCATTAATTATCTCTTTATGAATTATCTCTACGAATTATCTCTTGAGTTATGATATCTTCTATTTATGAATTATGGTTGAATCTAAGAAGTTCAGAGGCAAAGATGCCTACAATAGAGGCATTACAGCTACAGCTCCATGCAGACTTGATTGGTACATCTGAAGAAAATCACAAATGTTTATGACAGAGAGAGCAAAACAATATATCTAGTGTTGAACTTATCAATAGCTGTACATGTGAAAAATGATCCTTCTCTTTTCATTGTGTTGCTTATATAAGCATTTTAAAACAGAACATGAAACTAATTAGTTTAACACTGATGCTTTCTGATGTGCTGAAATATTTCAGAGACTGCTTGTTTACTGCAAGATTTAGTACTACTTTTTCATTGGCAAAACCTATACATCATTGGTGGTTGGATCAGAAGGCAGGTATCCTTACCAACCCTGAGCTCTGGTCCTGAGGAAGATGGCCACATAGTCAAAGCACTTTTATTGTTTGAGTTAATTGTTACAGCCTGTGGAATTATTACACATTGCAAGGAAGTGAAATATTTCAGGTGGCAGGGATTTAACAGTGTTGAGAACCTGCACATGTCAGCCAGAAATTCTTGGATTATTTATGAAAATGTGGAATATCATTAACACTTCAAGTGCTCCCAAACTTGACACTAGATCTTGTTGACATCATTTTCTTATCACTGACAACCTGGAGCTGCTAGACAGGCAAGGCAAGCCCATACCCAATTGCCAGATGCTTATAAGCAGAATTATCGGAAAAGCCTTAACCTATCCACGGGAATTTCGCGAACCCTGGTCGTACCGCACTGGGTGTAAACATCGCACGGATCACATGGATATAAAGACCTTCAAGTGATCCACAATTCAACAACTTTCACAAGACATCCATAACTGTTCCCTGGACGCATGTACACTCCAAACTTACCGTGTGAAGCAGCCTAGCAGCGCCCAGCCCCCGCCCGCCCGCCGCCGCCTTCTGCTGACTAGAACGTCCGGTACGGCGTCCAGGCACGCGAATGCACGCGGTCCGGCGCCCTCAGCCGGCTTTACCAAGCTTTACCAGGCATCACGAATATGCACCTGACTCAGCGCGACGAACACGGCGCAGACCAGCCTTGGAGTTTTAACGAAAAGTTCTAGATGTGTTCAGGCCGATTGCCATACCGCGCGCGGGCTTGTCAAGTCACGGCAACACATGCTTAATCTCATATAGTCTTCTTAAGCTCTCTAATGACGAAATCGATGAAACGATTAAGACACCTCGCTCACCGTGCGCTGCGGTGAAAAAGGAGATAGCCAGAAGTGGTCACTGCTGAAATGTAGGGCCGTGGAAATGTCCATGCAGTATACGCAGACTGGCTCCACCGGTCGGGAGTCTTTGAAAAATGGTGACCGTGATAAACTGACAGCAAGAGTCATCAAAGAGCCATGCAGATGCAGACGCAGAAAGCAATGCCCAAAAAACCGGGAATCTGGATATCAGTGCCAACTGGCATGGCCATCACACAAACATAAAATAGAAAGAGAAATCAGGGTCAAAACACGTGATCATGACTGGTTTTTATTACGCACCGAGAGTCATAACCAGAAGAGCTCACTAAGGCGCATGACGTCCAGAGTAATGCCAACTAAAACGGCAGATGCTTCTCCCGCCATCAGGCGATCAGATTGCGAACCTCAGCATCGTTCCTGAACCGCCGGGTGGCACATATGTCCGCTCGGATGCCGGCACATCTGCAGCTGCGTCCCCGCGGTAAAATCATACCACCCGCATTATTCTCATCGCGATCACACCGAGAACACAAGCCCGCACCAAACGCACACTATAAAACCGCATTTGACACGGCGCAGACTTAAGGTGGCGCCGGCGCCGACGCACTGGCCGCGAGTGGGCAGCCAACCCTGATCACAGGCATATCCGCGCTCCCGCCGCACCGCACCTAGGCCATGTACTTGAACTTGTTTATATCGTCCGGATCCCGGCGCATGTACTTGTTCTCGATTAGCCACTCGATCTGTTCCTTGATCATCTTTTTACTCGGCAGAAACATGTTCTTGAGGATCTCGATGAGTTCGGTCTGTAGCTGCGCGTTCGTCGTCGCCTTCCGCATCTTCATGATCTTGACGATGGCCTCCTGGGTACGCAGGATGCGCAGCTGTATGATGCCGTCGTTCTCCTCCTCGCGCGACTTCTCCGTGCTCAGCTGGAGCCGGCCAATGACATTGACCTTGCCCCGCGGCATCGGCTTGCCGTTCTTGACGACGGCGAACTCCTGGTTGACCCAGAAGAGCGAGTCCTCGCCAAAGTCCTTGGCCGAATGCACCTGTGACGGGTAGCGAGACGCCCAGTCAGAGAGCATTGACATTGTAAGGAGTGCCGTACATAACGCCACTTTTCCATTCACTCGACATCATCTACAGCAGCCAGATGCAAGTTACTTTATTCTGGCAGGTCAAACACCAAAACACGCCTACATCCGGAAAACGTATTTAAGAACTGCGCCAGATATGCACCACATACATTCTGCACGTACCTGATCATGATAAATCAAGGTGAATTATATGAAGAAAATAAGGTAATCTGCTAGCATTGCAGTTCTAAGGGCCTCAGACAGTTGTATGGGTGATTTTTTGTCGACAGGCCTCACTGTTACAGCAAAGGGACATCCGCAGCCTCCGTCCTCTGCCCTCTGTCATCTGTCCTCTGCCCTCTGTCCTCTCTCCTCAGCCCTGTCCCTGTCCCTGTCCCTGTCCCCTGTCCCCTGTCCCCTGTCCCCTGTACCCTGTCCCCCGCCCTCCGTCCTCTGTATTCTGTCGTATGTGCTCTGCCCCTGCCCCCCCCCCCCCCCGCCTCCTGTCCTGTCCTCCATCCCATCTCCCGTCACTCACCCCTCGTCCCTTGTCTCCCCGTCACGCACCCCTAGTCCCCCTGTCCCCATCTCCCGTCGCCTCGCCGCCGAGCGACACACCTCTGGGCTGTGGCACAGCAGCTGCCGCTTCAGCTTGCTGCAGGCCACCAGGGTCCAGAGCGTGCGCCGCAGCTCGGCGTCCGGCAGCTCGGTGGCTAGCCGCAGGTTCTCCAGCGAGATGCGCTCGTCGGGCCTCTGGTTCCAGGCGAACAGCACCGCCATCTGGAATGTGGTGATGTCCACGTCGTACCGGCCCTGCGGACGAGGTCAGATCAGGTCAGGTCACGTCACGTCAGGTCACGTCACATCGCGTCACGTCAGCGCGTGCAGCGGCACAGGGCACGTGCTGGCGGGGCTTCGACCGGCGGCGCGGTTCCGTTCTGCCGCGAGGCGAGGTTGGGAGATCTTTTGGACTTGCGTGGTTGCGCTAGAGAGGTACGGCCGAGGCCAGCTGAGGTCAGTGACAAGGCAGGTCAGGTCCGTCCGTCGCTGGCTATCGTGCTGGCCCTGGCATAGTGAACTAGCTGGCTCAAACCGCGTATAACGCTCTAGGTTCAACAAGTTTCCATGTAAAGGTGACCAGTGCTGCAACCAGTATTTAGTTTCATAACATGAAACAAACTCCGCGCCCTCAAATTGCTCGGCGTGAGCCTATGAGACACAAGCCCCAAAATGTCATCAAATTCGATATGGTCTTCTACTGAGGACTTAAGAACCACCCACAAAATAAATGCAACCCTTTCTCGTCAATGTGTTTGCAAGGCGCGATTCCGAGGCATGCACATTCACGATTCCATCCCATTCAGTGAGCCGCGAACTCCAGGGAACCCACCGGCGCCCACCATCCGTACCACACACAGCGCGAAAACGCTCCCGTCCACCCCCACCGCCGTCGCTCGCGCCGCCACGCACCAGCCGGCTAGTGAAGGTGATGGTGCCGTTGGACATGTGGTGGTGCCACTGCAGCTTGCGGCCGCTGTGCTTGGCCTTGTAGAACTCCTCCAGCTCCGGGATGTAGTCCTCCAGCTCGGTGGGTAGCGTCACGGCCACGCGCTCGCAGCCGCGCGACCACGCGCCGGCGTTCAGGATCTTGATGTTGACGTTGTCGGCCACGTGCGGCCTGCACTCGTGGAACTCGTTGTTGAGGTCCTGCGACACCTTGACGTCCTGCCGGACACGAGCGCGGCCGGGTGACGGCGGTGGTCGCGGGCGACTTGCGCCGGCGCCGCCGTGAGAGGGGCATGCCTGGAGGCGTGCGACACGCTCACATCTCAGGCAGAGTGGCGCAGAGGGTAGGAGCGGAGCCCTGCACCGCCTTCGGGGGTCCTGAGAGGACCGAAAGGCCTGAGACGGGTACCGACGCAGTGGGCGATTTTGTGTCCTGGTGATGGGGGCATGACACGCATCTCCCGGTGATAGAAGGTATGGGAGATGAAATAACTGTAGTGGGCAGCACTACCCACTCCCCTCACGTCCTGGAAAGAGGGTTGACACTGAGGCGCTCTGTGATTTCTGTCTTGGGAGGGGGGAGGGCACAGGGGCAGACAGAGGTCACGCGACGAGACCAGTACTGGTGCGCGGGAGTAAACATCGCATCTACTCCACCAGCAACCAGCCCGGCTACGCAATTCACCATACAAAAACATTGAGATCGTGCTATCAGTGCTACAGTAGGTGGTAAAGCATAGAAGACGGAACTTGTACCACACGTGGACACGAACTCCAACGCACCATCATGATACATAAAATTTGTCACGGTGCCACAATGAACACCCTACTCATCGGTTGGCTGCAACCCAGTTGCTTTCAGACATTCTCTTTCGATGCCGAAATCAACTACGTCACGTCCACACACACAAACACACCATAGCTGAAGATATCTCGCTCTGCTCAGCCGCGTCAAAGCGTCCACACACAAGTAACGACCCCACCCAACTCGCGCCACCTCTTCGCGCCTTCTCCGCCCGACCACCACCCTCACCTGGAACATCCTGGAGAGCTTGTTGACGTAGTCAGCCGGCATGCCGATGCCGCGCAGCCAGTCCACCATGTTCTCCTCCTTCTCCGAGTCGGCCGACGTGTCCAGGATCAGCCGGCGCGACAGGTGGCCCTTGTGGTAGCGCATGAACACGTCCTTGTTCTGCACGTACTTCAGTAGGCAGAGCACCGCGCGCAGCTTGTCGTCCACCTGCGGGCGAGGGGCTAGTCACCATCACAGCCGTCGGTGCGGGGGAGTCACGCTTGTTATCCACCTGCGGGCGAGGGGCCAGTCATCATCACAGCCGTCGGTCCGGGGGAGTCGCGTGTGTCGTCCACCTGCGGGCAAGGGACCAGTCACCATCACAGCCGTCGGTCCGGGAGAGTCGCGCTTGTCGTCCACCTGCGGGCGAGGGGCCAGTCGCCATCACAGCCGTCGGTCCGGGGAAGTCGCATTTGTCGTCCACCTGCGGGCGAGGGGCCAGTCACCATCACAGCCGTCGGTCCGGGGGAGTCGCGCTTGTCGTCCACCTGCGGGCGAGGGGCCAGTCACCATCACAGCCGTCGGTCCGGGGGAGTCCTTGTCGTCCACCTGCGGGCGAGGGGCCAGTCACCATCACAGCCGTCGGTCCGGAGGAGTCGCGTTTGTCGTCCACCTGCGGGCGAGGGATCAGTCACCATCACAGCCGTCGGTCCGGGAAAGTCGCGTGCGAAAGAACAAGTAGAATGAGAAAAGTCCGAATTTGTCGGTCGTTAAAGTCGGTGAACAGGTCAAGATTTGGATTTAACCAGAGACAGGAGAGGTCTGAATGCTGTGATTGTCTTCGACCAGGGGCATGGGGGAGGGGTAGTGGGGCCGACAGCACGCATCGAGAGACCTGTCGTCGGTTAGCGGAGAAGCAACAGCGGGTTCTGTTTCACCACCTGCTCGAAAGCATGGCCAACTTTATCAGTTAAGCAAGCAGTGGGCAAAGCAACAGGAATCGTGTGTGCCCACAGCAAATTTCTGTAAAAAAATTAATGATATCTTGAAGACCTGGTCTGATTTCCCTGCGATCCCGTACACAATGCGTCCACCGAGTGCCAATTCATTCCACTGGACGTGAATCATCTGCCTCCCATGACGTCACAGGTCCCCGGGCACCTCCAGAATCAATAGCGCATCACTGCAGCCACACCGCAAGTGTATCACAGCCACGGCATCACGAACTGGATCACCAGACGCCATCCGCTCATCATGACGTCACAGCTACCCAGGCTGACACCGTGGGCGATCACCGAACGTGCACTCCCGTCCGGCGACGTCACACGCTCTCCGGTGACGTCACACGCTCCCCGGTGACGTCACCTCGTCGGAGGTGAGCCGCTTGCTGAAGGTGGTCTTGCGGAGCAGCATGTCGCAGTAGTTGGCCAGCAGCTCGGGACAGCGCGACTCGGGCGTGGACTTGAGCGGACCGCCGCTGCGGCCTCGCACCGGCAGCTCCAGCCTGCCGTGACGTCATCGGTACACCGGTCACACGGGCTTATCAACGGCAGTCATGTAATGCGTGGACGTTTGGGTCAGAACGAGCAAAGGTGTCGTTGCTTGCTGTCCTGTACAATGCTGTAGTGATATCAGCAGCAGCACCGTTGGTTATGGTCGCTGATGTCACTGTTGCCATTGCGTGAACGTTACGTCAAAATAAGCGCTGCTGGGTTATATATCGATGCGCGTGACGTCACTGACATTACCGTCGAAGCTTATCGAAAATCATGACCCGTCAAGTATCCCATCGCGTGAACCGAACACCAATCAGAGAAGGGGGTGATCTCGGATCCAAGGCTTTGGGAAAACTTTTTTGTGATTGCTTTCAGATGCGGAGGCTGAAGGCGGCATTCGTCGCCGTGTTGCTGAAAGTAGCGTCGGTGAAAGGTGCGTTCGCCAGTACACCGCAGTGGCACGACAGCACCCCATAATGACGCAAACCGCCATTTTCGTTCACAACCAGCGAAAAACAGCAGGCAACGGGTATCGAACCGGCGCTTTCGCGGTCGCGCAACCCGCCAGCGGCCGGCGGAACGTACTTGAAGACGTGGGTGTCGTTGACCAGGTCCTTGAAGGCCTTGTCGCGGGAGGTGAGGAAGCGCGGGTCGTTGTGGAAGGCGTCACGCACTAGGGAGCTGAACTTCTGGAACAGCTCCAGCAGCTGCTCCACGTACCGCTCACAGTCCTGCGGACAGCCGCGCTCGTGTCAGCAGCGCTCGGTGGACACGCCGGGCTAAAGCCGCTGGACTAAAGATGCTGGGCGGGTGGTCCGGCGCAGCCTCAGCGCGGTGGATACGGTCCATTGCCCACGGCCGAGTGCGGGGGGCCGTGAGCTTGAGACTGACCATAGCACTATTTCGCCATTCTCTCTAGTGCTTTCGGTTCCCAGTCGCAGTCCTCTCCGCTGCATTCCGGCATCTGGCCTGCCCTCAGTCCCAATTACAATGCACCCAGCCGCCGGTTCTGCCAGCGCTCTCAGTCACCAGTCCCACCCAGCCGCCGGTTCTGCCAGCGCTCTCAGTCACCAGTCCCGCCCCCCTCCCCCCCCCCCCCCCCCGTTATCAGTCTCCGTTACGTCGCCCTCAGACATTTCACAACATGAGCGCGCCCGCTCGTTAGCGAATCACCAGCTGCTGTTATTGTGGGTGCGGCTTTCCCGTCTCTGGCGATTACAGAGGTGGTGACGAAACACCTTACGAAACATTGTGCACAGAAGATCGTGGGCGTAATCACTCGGGGCTGGGGGACACGCCAGTCCGCTGTTCTCGCCATGGGATTTTGTTCTCTTCAGTTTTGCTTGCATAAGGCACAGTACAGATGTGCTCCTTTCCAAAATGTAATTTTTAGGCCAGGTCGTCGCTCAGACTCTAGTTCACCCTCCCTCCTCCCCCCCCCCCTCGCAATCTCACAGATATGGCCACACCCACACACAAACGACGATAATTTACACCCTCGAAATTGTGCCAAGTCGCACTGTCATATTATATAACGTTACACACGTCACCATATATATATATATATATATATATATATATATATATATATATATATATATATGTATGTATATGGTGTTACGTTATATAACTGTAGGTTATGCGTACTGAGATCCCTATTTAAAGCACCCAAGCACTCGTACAATAGCCCTGTCCTGCGTCGTTACGGTGGCGCAATCGATAAGCACAAGGTAGCAGCCGGTCAGCAGATATGCTGCCCTTACTGTTCAGCACTGTGCTGGCCGAACATCAGCAGAACACCCTCGACCTCGTCAACCTCACGCTTGCCACCTCTCCTCGGCCGTCCCGCCCCAGCCTCCCGCCAACACATATCGCTCTTCCACCCTGACCCAACACTCCCAGCAGCCTCACGTGCTCTAACCGCCCACACACACACGCACACACCTCACGCCATGTCACATCATACCCGCACCGCACCGCACCGTACCCGCACCGCACCGCACCGCACCGCACCGCACCGCACCGTACCGCACCGCACCGCACCGCACACACAAACGTACGCACATACACACGCACAAGCACACGCACACGCACCACCCCACCCCCACCCCACAAGACAGCACCTGTGTGATGCTGTCGGCGTTGGCCAGCATGGCCTCGAGGCCGGCCGACTTGATGTGCTCCTCGACGACGCGCAGCATGGGCTCGACGCCAGCGGCGCCGGCCGGCTGCCCGTCCGAGGCACTGTCCATCAGGCCGAACATCAGCGACAGCTTGTGCGTGTCGTGGTGGCGCACCATGCGCGGACACTCGGCCAGGATCGAGTCGCGGTAGCGCGACACCAGCAGGTGCACGCACTTGTCGTGGATCTGCCGGCCGGCGGGGCGGGGCGTCAGGGTCCGAGGCCGGCCAGAGGCGGCCGGGACGAACGGCGGTGAATAGCTCGGCACGGAGGTCTGTATCAGCAAGAGCAATGACGCGCGCCGGCGTCCAAACAACACAAGTCGTAGCCACCTTCTCTCGCTCCGACACTCTTTCGCTCTGTCGCTCTGTCGCTCTCTCGCTCTTTCGCTGTTTCGCTCTCTCGCTCTTTAGCTCTTTTGCTCCGTCGCTCTCTCCCTCCCACCTACCTTGACTCAAATCCAGCTGAACTTCCCGTCCATCCCTGCCCGCGCCACGCGCTCACCTTTTTCAGCGAGTCGCCGCTGGTCTCGAGGTACTTCAGCCCGCGCTCCTCCTCCTCCTTCAGCTTGCTGTCCGCGTAGCGCATGAAGTCGTGCACGCCGTTGCCGGCCAGGAACTCGGCGGCGTACGACTGGTAGTAGCGCGTGAGACACTCGATGTACACCGTCTCGAAGTGGAGCCGGTACGACTCGAGCCGGTCCTCGGCGTTCGTGCACAGGTGGACGAACGAGTCGCGCACGCCTACTACCAGGTGCGCGCCCTCGATGGCCGTGCCGCGCCGCTCCGTGTCCACCAGGTGCATGGCGGCCTGCAGCAGCCGCTCCTGCGCGGCGCACACCGAACGTCACGCTTCCGCGCGGGCTGACAGCGGGGGCGGCTGGGGTTTGGGGGGGGGGGGGGGGGTGAGTCTGACAGGTGTGTCGTTCTGTTCGTTTAGGAAAGTGAGTCTTTTTCGGTCCGGCGGGTCGGTGACCCCAGGCCAAGGTCGGTACGCCTGAGGGGCGGGGGCACGCGCGAGCATACTTGGCGTATACCGGCCAGCGCAAGAAAACAAAAGCCGCGAATTTGGCCTTTAGCTTCGCGCAGATGCGGACAACGGTGATGCTAGAACGCAAACTCTACACGCGTGCTGGATCAAAAGGAAACAGTTGGACCGACCTTGCACCTCGAGACTCAGTACCATTGCACTGCAACGGGATGGCAGATAACAAAGAATGCATTGGTCGTATCTCCAGCTCCGCAACCTACCAGCAGAGCTCCGCCCAAAACTGGTCAACACGACAAATCAAAAGGATGCAGCCGATTGCGCGAAGAAATTCCCCCCCCCCCCCCCCTTCCCTTCCCCTCCACCCTGAGCAACACTGCCACCGCTCGGGTCCCGCCGCTACCATACCCTGAGGCTGGAGAAGATGACCTCGTGCCACGTCTCCAGCATCAGCTTGCGCACGATGCTCTCCTGCGGCTGCTTGGCCTTGTTGCTGTTGGCGTTCTTGCCGGACAGCGCCTGCTCCAGCGGGCCGAACGGCAGCGGCAGGTAGCCGCACTGTGTGAAGAAGCGATCCCACTCGGCGATGTACGCCTTCAGCGTCTCGTACTCGCCCTCGTGCTGCCGGATCCGGCTGTAGGCCAGCTTGACGAACGACTGCACCGCCTCCTGTCGGTGAGCGGAGCAACTGCGGTTAGTGGTGATCGGGACGACTGGAAGCCAGCGAGAAGCAACCACACTGCTGCCTGGGGACGATCACGGCAACTGGCAGTCAGCAGGGGTCGCCACAGTTTAACAACAGGCCCGGTATCAGCCCCAGTCAGCACAAACCGTGTCCGTTCACATGGTTTGTGCTGACTCGGTCTGATCGCAGGCCAGAATGTCCGGTAACGCACCGCTCTGAGTCAGCGCGACCACACTCAGAGCCGCTCTGAGTTCTGCCGCACTGACCGGCGTTAGCGTGGAGGTGCGGCGCTCGCACCGCTGAGTCTGGGCGGTCCGGAGCATCCCTGCGGTGTTAGGCGCGCCGTTCTCATCCCAAAGGCAACCCATCAGAGGACCCACCTGCAGGTATCCATCGACCTTGGGCGCGTCCTTCTCATCCCCGAGGCAACCCATCAGAGGGCCCACCTGCGGACATTTCTGGACCTTGGGCGCGCCCTTCTCATCCCAGAGGCAACCCATCAGAGGACCCACCTGCAGGTATCCATCGATCTTGGGCGCGTCCTTCTCATCCCCGAGGCAACCCATCAGAGGGCCCACCTGCGGACATTTCTGGACCTTGGGCGCGCCCTTCTCATCCCAGAGGCAACCCATCAGAGGACCCACCTGCAGGTATCCATCGACCTTGGGCGCGCCATTCTCATCCCCGAGGCAACCCATCAGAGGGCCCACCTGCAGATATTTCTGGACCTTGGGCATGCCCTTCTCATCCCAGAGGCAACCCATCAGAGGACCCACCTGCAGGTATCCATCGACGTTGGACGCGCCCTTCTCATCCCAGAGTTAACCAGTCAGAGGACCCCCCTACAGGTATTGGTAGGCCTCGGGCGCGTCTTTCTGATCCCAGAGGCAACCTCTTAGAGGGCCCACCTGCAGGTATCTGTAGACCTTGGGCGCGCCCTTCTCATCCCACAGGCAGACAGTGTGTGTCGACCAGAAGAGGTTCTGCCAATCAGTCTTTGAGACGGGGTCCTGCTGCAGCAGCCTCTGGATCACCGGCTCCATGTTGGGCCACTGCTCCTGGAAGGCGTTCTGCGCCCGGTCTTTGAGCAGCGCCGACGTCATGGCGGCGGCCTGTGACGCAGGTCAGGTCAGGTCACACTGGGTCAGGTCAGGTCACACTAGGTCAGATGAGGTGACACTGGGTTCAAGCAGGGCAGGACAGCATGGAGGTGTGGTCCCAGTCTTCTAAGGTCAGGTCAGGTTTGACAAAGACATCCTTTAGTGCTCTCCATACCTCTACAAGAAGCACAAGACATCCTGAAGTTCTAAAAAAAAATGTTTATATCAGCTCAGTTCCAGGCTGTCTTATCAATTGCTTGGACTTGGTTGGCATGTAGCATTAAGTGTAGCATAAGGGTACCACTCTCAACATGTACATTTTAAGGGAATGGGCCAACCAAAAAAACTTATCATTCAGTCTTACTTTTATGTTGTCTTTGGCAAAATAACCATCCAGGTGAACACCAATGTCATAATCAAATCAAAAGCACTGCATGAATTCCTCACACCAGAACCATGCAGAGGTACTCCCAGCACAATTATTCATGGTGATCACATATCATCTGAATAGGTAAAGACTGGTATCCATCAGCTTTCCCTGTCATATGCCAAGACATAATTTTCTTCAGGTGCAGTTCATCTAATGTTATACAAATGGGAAGTACCATTTAAGGTAATTATTACCATAAATGTTTTACCATAAATCTGCATTTACTATCAATTAGAACTGGTAGTTACCATTCACTACAATCATTTATCATAAATGGTACTTACAACTCATCCACTGATGCTCATGTGCAAAGGAAAAAATTCATATTGTTGGTCAAATAAACACAATTACTTGTATCCTGGCATAGAAAAATTGTATATCTGTTCTAAAAATAAAAAATGGAGTCCTGTCTGTTCAACATACATTATCAAGTGATGTAACACAGCCAAGCGTCACCATCCAAAGACCTCCAGAACAGGTCATTTAAAAGCATGAAGGTTATTACAACCAAAAATGTAAAATGTTGTTATCACTCCCTCCCTTTTACACATAGTATATGAACCTTACACCTTACAACACCTTTGTCAATTTGAAGATATAAACAACCAAAAATCAAAGATGTCATCATCACTCCCTCCCTTTTACACATGGTATATGTTCCTTATGCCTTACAACACCTTTGTCAGTTTGAAGACATAAACAATGCATCAGGACAAACATACTCCCTATCTTCACCATTAAGTGCTGGGCACTGGTCCAGAATGTTTGGTACTAATTAAGGTTTTGAGATTATAGGAACTTATCCTCTACAGCCTGGACTACAATAAAAAATTATTTTAAATCAGTTATGGATGTCATGCTGCAACAAAGCCTGACTTCTCCCTAGATAACAATCTTGTATGCCATCAGAGATAATGACAAATGGGTGGTTGTCAGTGGAATGTGTCTGCTCATCCTTCCTGAGTAGTAGCATGATGTTCTGAAATGCATGAATCCAGGCCAAACATTTACTAGTTTTATGTGACAAAGCATGTGGGAAGGAAATGGACTGTGCACCATACTGGATAAGAATACATGTTGTGCCAATCTGACAACCCCAGTTTGGCACACTCACCAAAAATTTTACCATGTAGCCAGTGTTTCAACAAATTTGACAGACTACCTTTTGTAGCCTTACTTGCAAGGTGAAGGAATAGATAACACACAGCACTACAGATATTATCACAAAGATGAGTTTAATCAACCAGTGACATGCCCAGTGATCCACAACTACCTACTCTTAAAGATGAAGTCAATTCCACTGCCAAACTTGAGCTGGCAAACTCATGGATGGTACCAGAGATGGGCAACATACCCAATCATGGTTAATACAAAGCATGGCAAATCAAAAATATGCCAAGTTGCAGAGTAAAAGTTATAGTCTAAAATGTTTACAATATCTTTCAACAAGCCACATTTTGTTGTAGTATGGATCTTCTATCCCAACCTGACCTCATTTGGCCAGTTTGGAGGGCAATAATAAGTCTTGTCATGTGTGGTTTCAAGTTGCAACCCAACATGTTGATTGCATCTTTGCTTTTGTCCTACAATGTCACAATAAGATTATCACAGTGACTTGGATTCATTAAAAGGTTTCTAAATAGGGCGAATTAAAGACAAAACGAAGCACAATAATGGGGATACATAAAAAGGTTCCTAGATGGGGCGAAGTACACAAGAAAGCACCATAATGGAATACATCACTCAGTGTATTACTAGCATGACCTACAGCCTACGCCCCGCACTCCTGCCTACCTTTCAACAATTTACGAAACACCTAAACTGGCAAGCACCTAGCACAGAATCGTACAGTACCACAGCCCCAACCTTTCGAATCACAAGTCAGGCTCCCCGCACACATGAAAGCGGCGCCTCGCATAAACAGTGAGACCATCGAAGAAGTGACGCATATCGCGCGCCAGAAATGTATTAGCAAAATGTTCCAGATTTTTAATAGCAGCCAAAATAATTCAACCTTGTTCTTCCATGTCAGTATTTTTCGGTGTATTTTCCAACGGATGTCATTTGCATGCAAAGTAACAGACCAGCGTAAGTCCAGTTTTTATTTACGAACAGAGGTTGTTGGCGTTCGTTTTCTTCATTCAGCAAAAGTCGTAGGGCCCTCCGCTCCGAACCTGTTCGCAATTTGTGAGGACGTTTTTGTCAGGAATTTGCCAACGTTACCCATTTGCCGAAATCGCTTTGTGTGGTATTCCCAGAGACCACAGACTTCGTCGCGGTTCTCATCGGCTGCCACGATATCAGCGCTTTCGCGCAGCCACCGGCATCCAACCGGGGCGGTGTCGGGTGGCAAGCGCACGAGCGTTGTGACTCACGACGACTACCGGCGTGACAGGACATTTGACAAAAAGACAAATGGATATTTGAAAAGATTTCCACCAATCAAGACTCTCGGCTTGCGAATTCAGTTCGAGCTCATTTATGCCCGGGCAAGCATGTTTTGTTGAACTTGACAGGATACTCTAGTGAAACCAAGTGGAATCCCCAGTGAACACCTTGATGATCGGACTGCATCGGGTCGATGTGAGACTTGTCCGTTGAACGCCGATGCCGCGCCGACGTCAAGCAGAGATATTTTCCAACGTCCACCCGATCTACACGTTGGCACGTTGGCCTGGCTTCCCCGTGACAACCCGATGCTCTCACTCTTCAGCGGGCGTTTCCCCGCTCTCGAGCCGACGTTCCACCGCTCTCCAGCCGACGTTCCCCGCTCTCAAGCTGACGCCCCTTTTGCTGTCTGGCGACGCTCCTGCTCTCCAGTCGACGTCCTCCTGCTCTCCAGTCGACGTCCCCCTGCTCTCCAGTCGACGTCCTCCTGCTCTCCAGTCGACGTCCCCCTGCTCTCCAACCCATGTTCTCCGCTCTCCACTCCTGCTCCCCACCCTGTTTCCCCGCTACAACGCATCCAAAGGCCTCTCCATCCAATGTCTCCAAAATGTTCGACTGCGACCTCACCACATCGCCGCCAGAGTAGGAGATATCTTAAAACCTTGACATTTTCTCACACCCATTTAAGTAATAATGCTTTGTTTGAAAACACCTTAGCTGAGCATATTATATGCATTCATCATGTACACGAATTCAATGTTGTACAACCAGAGCAAAAAGAGGGGTCGCCCTGTATCAGAGTTCTCCTCGGTGCTTCGAGTTCTTTCTGCCCCGCGTGCACCGCGTTATGCCGCCATTTCTGCATCTGAGCTTCTACTTGCGTGTGGAGAGTACAGAGCTTTTCGTTGGCAGCTTCTGGAAGCAGCGATAGTACTGCAAGATTTTTGAAAATTAATGCAGAGGCAGGGAGGGGAAATAGAGAAGGAAAGAGGGGAAGCGCATGGAACAACGCTAGGGACAGAGACATGAAGACAGGGAAAAGGTCATGGAGGTAGAGGTAAAAACATGGAAACGGGAGAAGCATGGACAGGGCCAGAGATAGGTACAGGCAGCGATAGGAACGGAAGCAGTGACGGAGGTGGAGTGGGGTAACGCTTATGAGTGGCGATCAAAACCACATGAACAAAGTTAAAACATCCCTGACCACAACAGTGCATGCTTACATCCATCTTACGACGAATATCACTGCCCTCATTCCTTCCTAGACCAGGGTTTCGTGGTGGAGATGTCAGACTGTTCCAAAACGTCATCCACAATAAGCATGCTTAGACTCCAACCAACTGATACATTAGCTGAAAGGGCATCAGGCAGCAAAAAAGAAATGAAAAGGCATTATTCGAACATCATGCCCTAAGATATCCACATGGTAAAGGAGCCTACCATCCAGCCATGATAAGTGAAACCCAGCACACAAATGGATAAGTATCTGGTTCACCAAAAGCACACTGAAAGCTTGCAATGCCACAGCATTTCTTGTGCTCAAAAACCTCACCCAGGAGACCAATCAGCAACTTCGTTTTTTGCAGCCGCCGCTTGCCGTTGCTGTCATAGCGGCTGTAGCCCTATCGTTTTATCGAAATTTACGCGATAAACCGATAGAAACATCCTTTAATAAAATCGCAATAAACCACGCACGTAGCGTACAAAAGTTAAGTCACGTACACTTTCTTACGGCCAAGTCAGAGCAGCACAAAATTCCACCCCAAACAATGGGTAAATTACTAAAACTTTGCCTTAGACATTGTCTGGCAACGAACAGTGGTTGCTGGCCACGCTTCCGCGTCGTTGATACCCATGTCCTGGAAACAGGCCATTACAAAGAGCACGGAAGCCCTGCCAACAGTTTAAAAAAGTAGCGGCGTACGGTGAACGTACTGTTGGTTAAAACCCGAGTCCAACGCTTTCAAAGCGCGCAAGGGTGCCTTATCCCAGAATCGTGCGGCCAAACTCAAGATGTATTTTTTCATTTATTATTTATAGTCTTTATTATTTTTCCCCCCTGTCAGACCCCAGCGGCACACACCGGCCGTGACGCACTATCCAAGGCGTCGAGCGCTAATCACCATGCGTCTGCTTCCAAGTTGAACACAACAATTGTCAAGCTTCCAGTTGCTGCTCTCTAGCTTTCTGAACCGCGATGCATCATGTCAACCTTACATTTGCTATATTTCGGTTTCCATTTCTGAGCGCTGCAGCGATCTTTCTGCCATTTCGTACTCTGCAAAGATTCCAAAATGCAAGCTATGAAAACACTATTCGTGCTGATTGCCCGTGGCAGCGTGCTTCCTTAACAGCTAACCGCTATTCATCTTATAACTTTAAGCCTAGCCGAGATTGCCTGATGACATGGGTCGTGATACATCCAACTTGTGTATTCAACAAGCCTCCGCTCTGCTGGCCGCCGACATCTCGAGAATCCCCGCACTCGCCCTGTTCTGCTTGGTTCCACTCCAGCCGTCCCGCACCCCGCGGCCCGGCGACGCGTCCCTGACACGGGTCACGTGGTCACGGACCAACCGCCGCGCGCCACGCAGGGCTGCGCCCCGGCGTGACGCCCCGGGCAAGGTGACCCGAGCCGGCGGCACGGACCAGACCAAACCGAACCGAACCGAACCGAACCGAACCGAACCGGGTTGTCTAGGCCGGCCCGGCACTCAGCAAGGGAGCGCACCACCAACACAGACAGATGCACGCAGGCAGCTGTGTGGACCCCCACATAACCACGATCTTTACAATTTACTCTTCACTCTATCTATGTGGATTATTTTAAGACTATCTGTATAAATAAAAACGTGTCATTGTCTTCTATTCTCCATTCTCATCTAATTGTCACTTTGCTTGATCAGTGCCACGACCTGCGCAATGATACATGCTGTTGTTACCGAGGCTCAATTTTTCCTCCCTATCGAATGAATGCCTGGCGGGTGTATAACATACCGAAGCTTGTCGACGATTACAGCATGTGCGCTTTTTCCGAGGTTTTGCTGAATTGCTTGACGGTGACGACTGGGCGATCGATCGGTGGCATTTCGGCGTTGCGAAAAAGAGAATTCGTAAACCCTTCGGCAAACTCGATGCTTAAACGGAACGTTGTCTAAAATGATTAAAAGGGGATAATTACAGCCAATGAATCCGCGTATGCGGGGATGTAAGCTTCGGCAAGGTCCCGGCGATGGTTCCGACGGCAGCGTGTTGCTATGGATACCATTTTTTCAAACATTGCCACATTTCCGGCTTGCATGATGAGAATTGCCGCCACGATGTGATGCATGGCTTCGTGTCGGCCACACGTATTGTGGGCGGTGGGTTGGCCGACACTCAGAAGTTAGATTCTCACCTCCACAGGCTCTGGCTGCCGAGATACGACATAACACGTGAAAACGGTCAAAACGGGGAAATCGGTGTGTGCCGCTGCTGCGCAAGTGACACGTGCCACGTGCAGTGTCACACGCGACGTCGTGCGACGTGTCGTTCAATTGCCAATCGAGGCAAGTTCAGTTCACGTCTCTCCGACTCGCAGTTGCCGAGATGCGACCACGTTTTCCAACGGTTACCCGCTGTCATTGGCGTTGGTCGCTTTTTCTGGCCGCCCACGCGAAGCCAACGAGCTGAAAAACCAAGTTGCAGCACGGGCCGCGCGCCACCCGTTGGTCGCGCCGTCACGAAACTCGTCGCTGCGCACGCTTCAAAGGGCAAAAGACGGCAAACAGGTAGGCAGGCAGACAGACACGCCCTACTAGATTAATTTCATAGTGGCGAGGAGGGAGTCCCATGAAATTTCTCGCGTCGAAACGCCTACTTCAAATCAAATTTTCGAGCTTTGCAGAACGATCTCTGGAAGAGTGGTACTACCGATCTTACCGGATCCGTGTCATCTAACTATGTGTGAAAATTAAAAAGCATGAGATGATTCCTATAAGTGTACTTCTTTTAGGCATGGTCCATTAGATATGCTTACCTGGAGGAGTCGGCAATGAGTTTTTGTTGTTGCTTTGTTTGGTTTTGTTTTGTTTTGGCTGAACGGAACCTTGAAATCGCTGGCCTGGCACCAGATAACAAGGATAGCTTAAAAAATATGCTGTCTCAAGACATTATCCTTGAAGTTATTCAAGCATATGGAGGCTGCAAATCGATTGGGAACGTATTTACTCACACGTCAGCATGTCCATGCTTTCTGACGATGTTGTGTTTCGTTGGGAACTTTGGCTTTAAGAAAAATGTAGCGAGCAAGCCCCGTTGCAAGCAAGCGCATGAAATTCTATTAAAGATTTTGTGACAGACCAAAGGTCTCTTGGAAGAAAAAAAACATTTAAGCTCAAATGCGTATTGGTTGGGTAGTTGTCAGAATCGCCGTCTTATGAGACTTCCGCGATACTCGTCTGACGACAGTAATATAAAGAAAACCCAAACAAGAGAGTTTCAAACAGGAAACTTCTC